TAGGCTCTGCTGCCGATGGCGTTGGGCTCAGTGGCACTCAGGGTAGATTTCATGCTCCCTGGGAAGGGGACAATTCCAAGGGGCAGCAGGAAGGTGTTGTGCTCTGGGCTGTGCTGGAGCTGCCGGTTATTTCCTCTTTCAGTGCTGAGTGATGTGACCGTGAGCCAGGCAGAGGCTGGGGAGACCTTGGCTCCCACCTCAGCGTCTGGGTCAGGGGAGGGTGTTTCACTCCCTCGTGTTTCCAGGGCCTGGTGAGCGCTGTGCCAGGCCCAGGGCTGCCTTCCTGGGCTTTCTGAATCACGCAGCTCGCACCAGCACACGCTGCACACTCGAGACTGTTGGAAAATGCTGATGAGCTGAGGCCAGATGCTCTTAACTTCCCCTGCCCTGTTGCAATCCCTTTTTGGGTAAGGCACGAGCGGGAAGCAGTGTCACTCTGTGCAGTGTCACGGTGGTACCTCGTTGTGCCTTCCCTCCTTGTGCTGAGCCCTGCTTTGGTGCTCCTGTCCTGCTGCCCCAGCTCTTTTCTGTCCTCCTGACAGCAGGGCTGGGAGCCAGAGCTCACACAAAAGTATCCTCCGCCTGCTTTCCTTTGTGTGTGGATCCAAGGCTACACCTGCTCTTGAGGAGGTAGAAAGGTGTCCTGAGGATCTGCCCTGAGCTGGTTGTAGCTCTTCCTTACTGCTCCTGGCGAGTGGAGACAGCTGAGGCTGCCTGGGTCCAGTTCCTGCTCCGTGGCCCGAGCAGCGAAGCCAAAACAAAAGTCACAGACTTCATCCCTGAAGGTCACCGGGTGTGCAGACCAAGATGCAGCCTCCCTCTGTGCTTCCTGGCTGCGGTGGCGCCGTTCCTCATTTGTGTGTGATGCCACGGGAGGGAGAGGTGACCACTATTGCCTCTTCCCATTTTGGGGCCTGCTGGCCTGGCAGCACTCGTGCGTCTTCCCAGTGCACAGGGTGCTGAGCTCCGAGTTGCAAGTGCAGGGCGTTAGCACACAGGGACGATGGGGACATCCCTCTGTGAGGCTGCTGTCACCCCAGCCTCCAGGCTGTGACTCCGGGGGGGAGGAAAGGAGAGGCAGGACGCTTGCAATGGCCTCTTTGGGGCTTTTAAGCATTTCAGAAATCTTCCATTTCCTCTTTTTTCCAGCCATGTGCAGGGTTGGTGTCACACAGCTGCTGGCTCTAGTGGTAAAGAGCTGCACCTTCCCCCTCTTTATCTGGTGTGGAGCAGACAGTGCCACGCTGCCTGCACTTATCTGTTCCTTAGGGCCAGGTCTCTCTCTTTTCCAGCTGCAAGGAGCGAGGTCTCCTCTGGTCTGAGCTCAGAGCAAGGCAGGGTTTCAGTGTGAGCACCTCTGCGCCTGTTCTGGCTGCATGAGGCTGCTGGGTGCGACTCCTGGCTGCAATTTGGCATGGGGTACACAGGGTACAGCAGGGCCAGCTGCTCTTTTAATCCTTCCTGGAAAGGAAGGGCTTTTCTGGGTTTCTCAGGGCTGTGCGTTGGTGTCTCCTGCCTGTGTTGGAGAACAAATGTGTCTGTAGGTGGCTAACCTTGGGGGAAACACTGAGGACAGCAGGCACGTCTTGAATATCCACAGCCTTGGAAAGGGGGCTGCTGGGCGGGAGCTGCAGCTTCTGGTGTTGATGGGTTCCTGGGGAGCAGCGTAGACCCTGGTGGGGTGGTGACAGAGCAGCGTGTGGTGGTCAGGGCACAGCCTCGCACCTCTTGCCTCCCCTGTGAGAGCAAAGAGCTCATGGCTCTCACCCTGTGTCACCCTAGGGCTCTCTAGTGGGGCTGAGCCGTTGGGTGGTGTGAATGGAGACTGTACTGGGGCACAGGGCTCCCTTCAGCCCAGCGTGACCTGTGGGTGCTCAGCAGGGTCAGGGGACAGAAAATGGGTGTGAAAACCACAGCAATCCTTTTATCAGGGATGCCTGGATGGGGTCTGGGAGTATCACAGGTCCAGGCTGTCTCTGTCCTGTGCTGATGTGGAAGTGCTGGAGTCACTGGGGCTGGGTTTTGGGGGGACACCCTGGCCCACAGCTCTGCACGCCTGTTTTCCTTCCTGCGTGCTGTGGTGTGCTCCTGGGCCTCTGCCCTGGCACTCTGCAGGCTGGGGAGGAAACAGCAGCACCAGGGCTGGTAGCTGGTGTCTGGCTGAAGGTTCCCATGTCGCTTTTGCTTTCCAGGAATCTGCTACACAATATTTGACCTGGGCTTCCGCTTCGATGTGGCCTGGTGAGTTCCCTGTAAATACTGGGATCCTCTCTGCTGAGCACGGGGCTGCTGCTCCTTGTTGGCAGTGCCTGCAGGGGACAGCACTTTTGAGTGACAGGCAGCAGTCACTGCATCACAGGGAATCAAGAGCTACAGTGGTCCCCGTGAGGTGGGATAGATGCAGCCCACGTGTATGTGTGGCTGGCTCCACGTCGGGTCCTTGTGCAGCCATCGCAGCCCTTCCCACCCCTGTCCCAGCCCAAGCTTCCTCTTCACAGTGAGGGTTTGGGAGGAAGGACTTGGTCCCCGTGGGTGAGGCTCCTGGGTCGCTGGCTGGCGCAGAAAGGCTCTTGTGTCCCACTGTCTGGCAGTGCCCAGTCCATCTCTACATGATGGGGTGGGGGTACCTTTTGTGGGGCTGTACACCATGATTAGAGGGGCTCAGCCTGTGTGCTAACTCAGGGCATTTCTTCCTCTCCAGGTTCCTGACGGAGACCTCACCCTTCATGTGGTGCAACCTGGGCATCGGCCTGGCCATCTCTCTGTCTGTGGTGGGAG